TCCACATGTTAATTCTCGCTCTGACATTGACATCGATACCTGTCATTCCTATCTTCGGGATTGTTTCCCCCACTGGCTAGCGTTTCGCCGACTAGTTTGTGTGTTTTGTCCCAAACTGTCCCTGAACTTGATCAATGTATTACTGTTGAGGAGATAATGGTATGTCTCAAGAAATGTAAAAATGGAAAGGCCCCTGGATCCGACGGGATAAATTTTAACTTTTTCAAGACTCTTCCGCAAAATTGGATCCTTTTTTTAAATAATTTTTTTAATAAAATTTTGGTTTCTGAGAATGTTCCGGAAGATTGGGGTAAACTATCGACCTTTATGCTATTTAAAAAAGGGGATGCTTCTGTCCCTGATAATTATAGACCTATAACTTTGATTAACTGTGTCGCGAAGATTTTTACACAAATTTTATGTATTCGACTGGTTGCTTGGGCTGAAAAACGAAATCTTATCCCGGAATCTCAATCAGGGTTCAGAAAGGGCAGAAGTTGCCTAGATAATGTTTTTAGTCTTTCTTCCGTTATTCAAATTCATTTAAGTAATAAGGGTTCTGCTTTATACGCAGCTTTTATCGATTTTAAGTGGGCCTTCCTATCTGTTTCCCACTCTTTATTGTGGAATAAATTGTTTTCGTTGGGCGTTAGTTCTAAGTTTATTAATATTTTGCGTGACTTTTACTCTAAAGCGAAAACTTGTATAAGAACTATGGAGGGGGTTACAGGGGAAGTTTATGTTACGCGGGGCGTTCTTCAGGGAGAGGTGCTTAGTCCGTTCGAGTTTCTTCTTTTCATTTCTAATATGGAAGAATTTTTTATAAAGTATGGTTGCAGGGGGAACTCAGTCAGTAACTCGACTGAGATACTCATGCTTGGATACGCGGATGACTACGTACTTCTCGCTGATACTCCTTCTGAGATGGCTAAAAAGCTTGCAGCTTTGGCCGAATACTGCGAGCGTAATGAGCTTGTGAATGTCGATAAAACCAAAATTGTAATTTTTACGAATTCAGGGAATTCTAAGGCAAGAAGATTTAAGTCTTTCAAATTTTGCAAGAGTAGTGTCGAGGTGGTAAAGGAATACGTTTATTTGGGTGTCAAGTTCCATTGCTCTGGCTCCTTCCAGCCTGCCTCACGTAAATTTATCAGCTCTTCTAATACCGCGGTAGGGGCGGTTCTAAGGACGATCTATTTCGTCGGTGCTGAATCCTGGGAGTCTTGCACAAAACTATTTCAGAGTCTTGCTCTCAGTGTTCTGTTTTACAATTGCCAAGTGTGGGGATTGGCTTTTCTTGATGATATGGAGAGGGTTCAACTGACTTTCTTTAAAAGTCTTTTGTGCCTCCCCATCTGCACCCCAAACTACGCTGTGAGATTGGAAACAGGTAGTTTACATCTCGCCTTTTACGTCTTGAAACAACTCATAACCTGGATTAATAAAATTTTTTTTTTAATGGATGATTCTCGGTATCCCAGGTTGTGCTTTGTCAAGCTACTATCTTTGGCCAAAAGGGGTTTGAGTTGCAGATTTAATTGGTTATGCCAAGTAAAAAGATACTTTTTTGATCCGTGTGGGCTTTCGGTTGAGTGGGACGCGTTGTCCTCCCAGTCTTTCGGCCTCGATGAGGAATTCGTCTTTAGAACTTACGGTAACTATATTGTTGATCGCGATAGAGCTTGTCTTTCTGCTTCGAGGAGCTTATTAATTTATCCGCCTCTCTCTTTTTCACCAGGGACACAGAGTTACCTTCTTTTACACATTCCATTTTATTTCAAACAAATTTTTGCTCAATGTAGACTTTTAAATCGACATATTACTCGTATTTATTTTAACAAAAAAAGTATGTTTTCCTCCCTGACACTACTTGTTCCAGCTGTAATCTGGAAGACGAAGATCTTTTACATATTTTAACCTCTTGCCCAGCTTGCGAACACTTGTTCGAAAATTTTGTTTCCGATTTTTTTAAGAATCTTTCTCCATCTGAGAATTGGCTAAATGTTTTATCTTCTGATAACCGTACTTTAATTAAGAGTTTTGTGAGAAGTCTTATCTTTGTACTCGACGACCGTTTGTGTATGTCAGATTAACAGAAATTTGTATTTTATGTTTCTTTTTTTTGCGTGGCTCCCTTGTAGACACTGTTCGTGTCACAGACAAGTGTAATAAATAAATTAAATTAATTGATTACTATATTATTAAAATTCAATTTAACATAATTCTTCCACAAATCAACTAAATAATTATTAATTTTTCTTTTTAGCATACTGCACTATAATTAGATGCAATATTTGGTTCAAATCAAATTTATATTTAGTGAAAACTGGATCAAATTTGCCCAGAGATTGATTGAGCGATCATTTCATATATTCTATTTTACAAGAGACCAGAATGTTTTTGCTCATCTAGTTGTAAAAAAATAAACTTTTATGTGAAATAGCCAGCGATTTCTAATTTTTTTCAAATATATATATATATAGAGTTAACACAGTGGTAAGAATAGGTTTTCAACATATGTTGCTTTCTTATAACTAAATGTAAGGAAACTAGCTTACTGTAAAATAATAAATACAAATTGGAAGTAGGGACCCTTTTCTGTCCTTGTCTTACAAACGTGATTCCATATATATTATATGTACGTTAGAAAAGGATAAAAAGAAAAGTATAAGCCAGAAGGATCTTTTATGGTTTTATGGCTTTTCATTGCAAAATTAAAAATTGTTGCATTTGAAAAAAATAATTTTTAAATATTATTATTCGTAATGTACATGTTAATACAATTACAACGATATAAAATTTTTTGCAAATATTTTTAAATTATTGAGAATTAATTTTAATTAATGGAGTATTTATTGTATAATCATTATGTAATTTTAGAGTTTTTACATAATGTTTTATATCATTGGAATCGTTAAAATCTATAAATTACAAATATAACATTTAAAAAAATATTTATTTAAATTTAAATAATTTTTTATTTTGCATTAAAAAGTCATAAAACCTGATGGAGCCTCGAAAGGACCCTTCTATTGGAAAAAGGGAATATATAATATAATAGAGTTATATGGTGGGTTTGAGTGGCCTTGGTATCTCTCTTGGAACCCTTTTTACAAAAAAAATAAAACATAGTGAGAAATAGTCACTTTTTAGAAAACGTCAGGCCCATAAAAACTATTTAAGTCAGAATTAGTCAGCAGCATCACAAAACATCAAAATAGTCTCAAAACGTCAGGATTTCTGACGTTTTGAGACTGATTTCTGATTTTATTTTTAGCAGGGTATAGATAATAGTAAAAATAACGAAACTAATAATAATAATAAAAACAACTATAAATCATGTTCTATCAATTATTTAATTATAATAATTAAATAATTGAAAGAACATGATTTATAGTTGTTTTTATTATTATTAGTTTTGTTATTTATAATAAATAATAAAAATTTAAAATGTAATAAAATTTATTATTTTTACCTGCTTGTTGAATATTAATTGGCTTTTAATATATTTCACATTGGTTTTTATATAAAATTATTTAAACATGTTAATTTTAATTATAAAATTAATTCATTAAATTAATAAATTTAATTTCTTGAAACGTTAACATCATTTACAGTGATGCAGTCTATTACCAACAAAGCATAGTATACCTAATGTCGGTAAAGAAGTACACGGAAAGAAGGTTACACTTAAAAACACGGTGTAAGCACCTTATTTCTAAGTTGCGACACATATAAATAAGGTGCTAAAGTTGTCACCATCTTTTTCCGTGCATTTCAACGCCCTCTGTTGGTGCACGCATGCGGAATTACCATGCATGCATCGAAATTTTCAGTGCGTACACCTGAAAATCCTGTGCCTGCACTGGATTTTACCGTGCTTGGCCCACTGTTTTTATCTGTCAAACAAGGCACTGACTTTATAAGTGAAACCTTCTTTCAGTGTACGATCATCTACTTTTTTCCACGTCTCGTATTAGAACCCATCACTTTACGTATTTCCACTCATATTTCACTTTTAACTTTCAATTATTCCTTTAAACATTACCATTTTTACTAAACACATGTATTTTTACATTCTGCTAACTTGCTTCTTTCACTACATATAATTATTAATGGTCACTCACGCGTTTTTTAATTTTTATTCACTAATTAAAAATCTCACGTATTTCAACTGCCCGAATTTCTCATTCCCCATTCCTTCAAATGCGTCAATTCTCGTTTTCCGTATTTCAACCTCACTACTTGTAATACGGAATCTCGCCAGTGCTAATACTTCTTTTTTTACAGGGAGTAAAATGTAGCCAAAGAGTCTATCTTTGAAACCTTTTTTGTTTTGTCTTTATCGGCTCGGGGACCGGAGATACAATTCGAAAACTGAAAAAGTGGTGATCTCGCTCCACTCTACTCTAAATAAAAAAAAGACCTAACGTAAAAAAAAAGTTAAAAAAGCTTTTGATTTTCTAAAAAAGGGATCAAATTTTGAATTTTTCGAAAAAAATTTTTACACCATTCGAAAGAGCAGGAAAAAACCTTTCGAAAACATATAGGTCAAATTTTTTTTTAATCTTTCTGTTTAAAAGTTACAAGTCTTCAAAACTTCACTGTTTAAATTTTTCAAAAAAATTCAACCCCCTCCCTTTCCTTTATTTTTGAAAAAAACCTAACAATACTTTTTGGTTAAAGTACTCCTTCCTAGGGCTAAACTATGTGCAAGTTACAGCCCAATCCGATCAATTTTTTTCACTTAGTACGCTACAGGAATTTCACCTCATATATATATATTAAAGAATATAACATATAACATAAATACTTAAAAATATAAAGAAGCCTTCCAAAAATCATAATAATCTTGAGTGTTTCGCCAGGAAACAAAGTCAATGGTATTCTCAAAGTTTTTTTAAATCCTGAAGTTTTTCTTAATTTCTTGTTTCAGTTGAATGTTGGCTCGAAAGTACATAAATAAAAATGGATTACGTACAAATTTTTGATATAAAAGATTTTTTTCGGGAATAATAAAGAAAAGTTAATTAATATATTGAAAACAAAATAAACATTTGTAATTTGTAAAATTGTAAATTTTACAACATCACAATATTTATTAATGTTTATACTTGCTTGTCATATTCAACACAGAATTCTTCTAGGAAAGCAATTTGCCCAGCTCTAATGGATGCATTACTGTAACTAAAAACTCTAAAAATAATTATTTATCTCTGCAGAAAAATTTCCTAACATGTGATTAAATATTTTTTAGTGAACACGCACATGCACGCAGATCATGTTACTGGATCAGGGAAATTAAAGTCTTTTTTACCAAGTTGTCTCTCAATGATATCTCATATGAGTGGAGCTCATGCGGATATTTTCTTATCTCCAACGGAGGAAATTAAGTTTGGAAGACATCGGTTAGTGTGCTATCCTACTCCTGGGCATACACAAGGTTATACATAATATTAACGTATTTTAACGTGGACTGCAGTTTTATCCATAAAAGTGAAACAATTTTTTCAAACTGATAGTTTTTAGAAGTTTTAAAATTATTAATTAATTAATAATTTATGATTAAATTATTTAAAAATTAAAAAAAAAGGCAAATTTAATTTAAATATTGATTCTGGCGAATTCAAAAATAGTGAATCTAAAGAATCTCCTGCATGGATTTTCAAAAATTTTAATTAAAAAAAGTGAAAAATATAAGTTAAAACATAATTGTACTCACCTATTAAATATGTATCTTCATTAACAACGTTAAGTATTTTTCGTCGTCAAATTTTTTCCACATTTTTTTATTGATTCTTCAGAATCTCTCGCATAGATAATCTCTCGCATATTAATTTTTTCAAAAAATAAAAATTCTAAAATGGTCAAAAATTAAAATCTTTTTTTGACCACCTTATATGTTTTTAGGACCCAAATGATGCAAGAAAAAAATATAACCTCGCTTAATAATTTAAAATTAATGTTGTCCAACATACCAAGGATTCTTATCTTATAAATTTCCTAAATCAGACAGATTGTTCGAATCCATGCAAAACACAATTGCAATTTGGGAAATAGGAAAGTAATATAATATTAGGAATTTGTTGTAGTTTAATTCAACTATCTGTTTTTCTAATATTATTGATGTGTCGAAATTGATCAATTAATTTAAAAAGTAAAATTATTTCATTTCAATAATGATATTTTATAGATACTAGCGCCTCCGCCGACAGACTTCGGTGCTAGTATTAATATGAATTATTCTGTGTTATATATGGGCGATTGCACGTAAGATTTATAGTCGAGGTTTAAAATTCGGGTAAATATATTTTTTCTTAATTCTTGTAGAAAAACATAAAATACGTATTTTTTTATTTTTTATATTGGCCAAATTTTTTAGTTATGAATTTTTGAAATTTTGGCTTTGCGAAAGTAGACCTTTTTTTAATGGCTTATATCTCTAAAAATATTTAATTTGGTAAAATCTTGCCAAAGAATAATAGTTTTGTTTTTCTTCAACTTTTAAGAAATTTAAGAAAAAAATTTTTTTTTAATTTTTAATGAAATAAAAATTAATTTTTTTAAAATTTGGGCCCTATTAAATTTTGTTTTTTTATGATTTATTCATGCCTGAAAATATACAGAAGATTTTGCAAAAAGAGCCGGAATGGGCCTAATGAGTTAAATAATTTTAAATGAATTTTTAAAATTGGCGTGTAAGCACCACGCGCGGTACGCTACACAGTGGGCCGCAAACAAATTAACATAGAGCCTACAAATTTCAACCGATTTTGACGTTCTTGCTCTTAATTTAAAGATTATATAATTCTACATAACGCCTTTGATTTTGTTTAAAAAAAAATTTCATTTGTTTAAACAATTTTTATAAACAATTTTAATGATTTAAGTTCCTTATTACGAAATTAATAACATATGGAGAGAAATGTGCAATTGGCGATTCAAACAGCTACACTGAAAAAAAATAGTATTGAATCAAGAAAATTTTACTTGCTTCAAGGAAACCGTGGAATTGAATAGGGACAAGTCAATTACGGCATTGGTTCAAGTAAACGATTGTCTTGAGATAGTATATTTGGGACGAGAGCATATATTCTTGAACCAAGAAAATATGGAATTCGAGCAATATATTAATCAACTTGTAACAAATGTAAAATACATTAAAGGAAGAAAATATTTTCTTGTTCTGAGAATACATGTAGTCAAATCAATTGTTTCATTTGATTCATTCAAATATTTGCAATATTGGATAAAGTAAGACAAGATTTAAATCAAAATATTATTTATATTGTGAGGAGACCATATGTTCTTGGTCCAAGAAAATATGGAATTCGTCTAAGAAGTTTATTGACTTCTAAGAAATGTAAAATATATTAAGTCAAGATCATATATATATTAACTCAAGAAAATATTTTCTTGACTTGAGAAAACTTTTGGAGTTGAACCAAAAAAATATTTTTTCAATACAAGTAAATATTTACTTGAATTACCCCCCCCCCCTCTTACACCCCTTCCTTATCCCACCATGTCTAATTCTTAAGTCAAACATTTTTATTTATTATTAACATTGATATTTTTTATTACTTATTTAAATAATATTTATTTTACATACAATTTATATTTAATTAATACTTAACACAACTAAAACAAGTATACCTTGAATGAAAATTTTTCACGGTCCGAGGAACTGAACCCGAGTTGCGCGCACCAAAGGCAGTAACGTAGACCACTATGCCTTAATAACCTAATATTCTTGATTGAATACTTTTTGGTACTTCGGGAAAATAAAATATTGGGTTGCGATAATAACATATTTACTTTTGCCAAATACTAAATTCTTAATTCAAGAACTATGCGTTAATCAAGTTAAAACAAGTATTTACTTATATTAATATTCGCATTTTCTTGACTCAAGACTATATTAGCGTTGAATTAAATAAAAAATATTAGAATGTGAAAATTTTGATCCACGGAAGGTATTTTAAATAACACAAGTTTTATGTCATTTTTTAATTTATTGCTAAGCAACGTTTCGATGACATGGTTTTGTCATCGAAACGTTGCTTAGCAATAAATTAAAAAATGACATAAAACTTGTGTTATTTAAAATACCTTCCGTGGATCAAAATTTTCACATTCTAATATATAATTGGGAAGGAAAATTATCATTATAATTAAATAGAAAATATTTTCAAGGAAACAAAAAAATGATTTCATTCAAGATTATATCACTATTTCAACTGAAAAAATAAATTATTTCATTTAAGATAATATAATATTATTTCTAGAAATTGAATATTCTTAATACAATATAATATGAAAATGCTTAAAGTATATTAAACACTTGGATTAATTAATGTTTAATTCAAACAATATAAATTTTAATCAAGTTGAAACAAGTATTTATTTCTATTAATCTTTCCATTTTCTTGGATCAAGACTATGAGTATTAGATTAAGTAAAAAGTTGTTTTGAAGGAAACAACAAAACGATTTGACCCAAGAGAATAAAATACTCAACGTAAATCACTTGACATGAGAAAATAATATTCTTGACTCAATTCTTTTTCTGTTCTTGACGCAACTAAAACATTTCGCTTGAAACAGTAAGATATATTTACTTGTATGAAACTCATATTTTCTTATTTCAAGAACATTGCTCAATGCTCAAAATTACTTGACTCAAGAAAATAAATTTCTTCCAATAAGAAAATATCGTCTTGTTTCAAGTAAAGTACCTCAAGTAAATGCATTAACTTGATTCAATTAACTTTTTTTTCAGTGTACACTAGCGCCACAGTTGAACGTGAGTTGAGCGTGACTCGCTCTGTAGCACTCCATGTGTTTTAAATTATTTTTTCTTTATACATGCATGCAAAAACCTCGTTTGGCAACCACTTTCAGCTATCCAAAATAGTCGAACCCCTCACCGTACGCGCGGACGATGAGCGCCTACACTTATAAAGAAAAATATGGTTCGATACTCGTTGCCTCGCGAGCGTATGCCCGTTACACTTGTAATGAGCAAAACGCTCGCTTGGCCCCTTGTATCGAAATATACTATTTTTTAACGCTTAAAAATTATTTTACAAACGCAATAAAAATATCAGAATAATTAAATAATTTGAAATAAACTGTCAAAACAGAGACTGCTTTAGAGCGAGTCACGCTTACGTTAGTTCAACTGTGGCGCTAGTGTAGCTGTTTGAATCGCCAATATTATTAGTCAAGGTAAACGACTAATACTTACTTTAATTAATTTTTACAAATAGCATTGTTTAAACAACCCTTAATCAACAAATACATAGTACCGTTGCTTTTACTTGTTTCAGATTTGGGTTTGCTTTAAGTTTTTTTTAAATAATCAATAATTAATTAAATAATTTTTATATTTTTAATAACAATTTTATATAAACAAATTTTTTTTTTTATTTTTACTCTTTCTGTTTATAGCTCTTTTCTTTATTTTTTAATTATTTCTCTCATATTTTTATTTAATGTAAATACTAGGAATATTGAAACTAATGTTAGTTACCAAATTTACAAACTTGTTGCTATTAGACATTGTAAATTATTTTGCTTCCTCGTGGAGGAAGCTTTGTAGTCCTTTCATTTTTAAATGTTTTCAAAGTGTCGGAAACAAATTTTTCTCTATATTGAAACATGTTATATGAGATCCTGATCAATTGTCCGGATGTATGTATGTGTGTGTGTGGATCCCTTTTTTGTTTAGAAGATAACTTTAACAGGTTTTAATGGATTTAGATAAAATTTGGTAAGCTCATTTATCATATTAATATCTCAAATCTGACCAAAGGATTTTAAAAAATACCCAAAAAAAAATTTTATCGTCTTTTTTCCAAAAAATTTTTTTAATCGAAAAAATTTTTAAATAGAAAAATTTAAGGTTATATATAATAAAATCGTATTCCTTACGTCAAGACAAATCGATCAGTATATAAAGTATATTTTTAATTTAAATTTAAAGAATTAATGAAAGTTACAAAATCAAAAATTCACATTTTGGCTATAAAATTTTGTGATTATTTAAATTTAAGTTTATAGATGAAATAATTTTACTCCTTACATGAAAACGAATCAATTGATATATATAAAATTTAAATTTGAGGTAAATTTAATAAATTAATGAAAGTTAAAAAATAAAAAATACACATTTTAGCTGAAAAATTTTATATTTATTTAAATTCAATTTTAAATATAAAATAATTGTGTTCCTTGCATTAAAACGAATCGATATAATTGTAAATAATTATAAATTATATATTATTTTTCATTAATATTTAGAAATTTCGGTTAAAATATAAATTTTTGATTTTTTAACTTCCATTAATTCTTTAAATTTTACTCAAATGTATAGGTACTCTAATGTTTATATTATTATATTATTTTTGTATTTTTATTTCAATGTCAATGCTTTCTCCAC